TGGCTGGCATGTGGTGCTGGGAGATCAAACCGCGGTCCCTGTGCTTTGCTAAGCTTGTTCTAAGTAGGTGCTTTAGACCACTGAGCCATCTCACCAACCCCTTTATTTCTTTCTTCAGGTTACACCAAACATGCAAAGGTTTTTTGTTCTTACTATTCCCTAAATAATACAGCACCACCAATATTTATATAGCCCTTACGTTATACTGGGTGTCACCAGTCATCGGGAGATGACTTAACACGTGGTAAGTGTAGGTTGTATGCAAATACAGCAAACCCAGTTTTACACAAAGACTTGAGCCACCACAGCGCGGGGGAAGTGGTGACCCTGTAAACTTGCAATTCCCTTGTTTTAGCCACCCAGAGTGCTGGAATTACAGATGTGCTTACATCTAGTTTATATATATTTTATTGTTGCAGTAAATAAATCTGGAGCTATATAGTCTTAAATGTTTTATCTCTATTAAGATTGTAGGAATTTAAGATTGTAGGACAGATAGATGAGAAGATTTTTTTTTTCTTTTTGGCTGGCTCAGGCTGCCTTAAGGGCGGGTCTGGTAAGGCATGGGGACTGGGGATCAAACCGCGGTCCCCTGGGCCTGACAGGGTTTGCCCCAGCAGGCGTTTAAACAACTGAGCTAACCCTCAAGCCCCAGGATAGGTAGATGGATGGATGGGATGGGATGCTATAAAGCACTTGGAATGATAACCCCTTCAAACAGGAGAATTCAAGGCTTTTCTGAGATGCCCGATGGGCCGCTGTCGCTGTAGGCTGCCTCCATGCTCACAAAGCTGTGGGCCAGGGAGTGGGGAAGAACCCAGCTAGTGACCTTCTGCAGGTTACTTAATCTCTCCTAACTTCAGCTTCATCTTCTGTAAATTGGGGATACTTGCCGGGCAAAGTGGTGCATTCCTGGGACCTCAGATACCCGGGCAAGGCTGAGGCAGGAAGATTCCAAGTTGCAGGTCAGCCTGGCCAACCTAATGAGACCCTTGTTCAAAATCAAAGAAGGGTGAGGCCGGCGATAGAGTTCAGTGGTCCAACGCGCCTGCTTAGGCAGGCCCAGGGGACTGTGGTTAGATCCCCAGCACCACGTACCTTGCCAACCCTGCCCTCAGGGCAGGCTGTGCCAGCCCAAAAAATAAAATGAAAAAGGGGTCAGGTTGTATAGCTTGGTGGCAGAGGACTTATCTAGTGTGCATGAGGCCCTGGGTTCAATCTTCAGTACTTAAAAAAAGGCATAATAATGTTCCTATCCGAAAGTGTCATAGATGGAAGGGATAGGTATAGAAATAGCTGCGTGGGTGATACACAGATGGCATACGTGGATCTGGGTAGCGCCATGCACTTGGTCAATTCTCAATAAATAGTAGTTTTTATAAGTTTCATATGCACTTTGAAAAATTCTGGGATCATAGTGTATGTGTAGTTTTCTGATCTGCCTTTTAAATTTCTTTTTAGCACCAGGAATTGGATTCACAGCCTCATGCTTGCCAGACCGTCACTGCCTACAGCCGTATCCCCAGCCCTGCCTTTGAAATTTTGTTTATTTTTATTTTCGTAGTGCTGGATATCAGACTCACTGCATGCTAAGTACACACCCTTCCAGGGAGCTACATCTCAGCCTGTAGTCTGCTTTTTAAAATATTTAGCTCGTTGCCATGCTGGGGGTTGAACCTAGGGCCTCATGCCCACTGGGCACGCTCTGCCACTGAGCTGTGCTTCATTTTTACTCAACAGTAGTACTTTCACATTTTCATGGGGTACAGCACGGCATTTCCGTAATGCATATAGTGTGCAGTAGCCGGATCAGGGCAACTGGGCTGTTCCTCCTCTCAGGCACTGACCATTGCTTTGAAGAAATGGGAGATCCTCTCTACTGGCTTCTATGAAACACATTTGCTGTCGACCAGTTACCCTGCTGCACCCCCTGCTGCACTGCACCAGAACATCAGAATTCTCTCTCCTGTACCCTCCTCTCCTGGCTCCCCCGCCTGTTCCCTTCCTGGGCCCTGCTAACCCCTGTTCTTCTGTCAAGATCAACTTTCTAGCTTCACACATAAACAGGAATCTGCAGGATTTGTCTTTCTGTGCCTGACTTGTTTCACTTACTTCCCGGTCTGCTTTTAGAAATTGAATGATGTCAGCTTGTTTCCTTAAATGCCCCTCACAACCATGATCAGTTTAGTGGGGTGTGTGTGTGTGTGTGTGTGTGTGTGTGTGTGTGTGTGTGTGTGTGTGGTCTACACATGGAGACACCCAGCTTACCTGAGCCAGCCCTGCGCGGGACGCTCTGATGCCTCCTGTCACTTTCTGGTCAGTCCTGTGCTGAGCCCGCGCCTGCGCACGGATCCGTATCTTGCTCTCTAACCCGAGGCAGTCTCTGAGCAGGACTGCCGGGTATGCGCTGTGGGTCCATACCGGGGGCCTGTCCTTCCCAGTGGCTGTCCTGGTCACACCACCCCCCGTAGAACGCGAAGTTCTCTCTCACCACATCCTGGGTTTGACTTTGAGTGAAAACAACAAAAACCCACAAAAGCAAATTTAGGTTGCTAAGTGCAGTTCTTTTTTCTTTCTTTCTTTCTTTTTTTTTTGTATCATAAAAAACACTTCGTACATTCTAGAGGATAAAGTGTATGAAGTAAGAAAGGTAAAGGCCGCCTGCCCTGCGCCCACTAAAATCCCACTCCCAGGGAGCTGACTGTGTGTGTGCACATGCGTGCCCAGCATGTCCGCACACGACATGTGCGTGGCTCTCCTGGAACCTTTCGGTACGCTCTGCCGCACGTTCTGCGATAAGCGAGACGCGACAGGGTGTCTCTGGCTTCTGTTACTGCACCCCGAGGCAGTCTCATCCCAGCGCCACAAAAACCAAGCAAAATAGGGGTGGGGAAATAGCTCAGTGGAATAAGTGCTTCCCTGCTAAGCGCAAGGGCCTGAGTTCAATCCCTGGTTCCACAAAAAAACCCAAAACAGAACCAATTTCACATGCAGCCTCCTGTATTTTTGTTCTTTTGTTTTTCTGAGACAGATCTCACTGGGTAGTTTATGCTGGCCTCGAATTCCACACATCTCGCACCTGAGGCGATCTTCCTGCCTCAGCCTCCCGAGTGCTGAGATTATAGGTGTATGCTGCCACCGCCACCGCTGACATCAGTCTTACTCTTCCAGGGCTGCATATTATTTTATAATTTCATAGCTGAGAAGAGCCATAACTTCTAGCCATGTGTAAAAAACATACAGTGAAACCACAGATAATACCAAACCCCATGGGTACTATGCTTTTTCCTATCCGTGTATTCTTACATTAAAGTTTAATATATAAGTTAGGCACAGTTGCCAAGTGTGGTGGTACACACCTGTGACCCCAGCATATGGGAGGCTGAGGCAGGAGGATCGCAGCGAGTTTGAGGCAGGCTAACCTGAAGTACAAAACGAGACCCTGTCTCAAAAGAAAAATAAAATTAGGCATAGTAAAAGATCAGCAACAATGACAGAACGATCATGGCAGTATACACTAATAATTGCTTATTTCTAGAATTTTTCATGTGATATTTTCAGACCATGGTTGACGCAGGTAACTGAAACTAGATTTGGGGCCACTGTGTGAGTGGAAGGATTTCAGCGTGGCTGTGTGTTCATTTATTGTATCTGTGTGCGTTTATTATATCTATGTGAATGTCCTTTGATAAGCTTGAGTGCTTCACGCTCCAGAGGTGGTGCCAGGGATAAAGCTGTGTGTTACGCAGAAATGAGTGCTTTCTTTATGCAAATGGTAGTCCATAAAGGGAAGACTGCTAGTCCCTGCTGCCCTGTATCTGGTTTGCTTTAAAGTTGGAGGATGACAGAGGGGTGCATTTTCATAGAAGAGCCGGCCTGGCCGAAACTCCCTTTGAATGTCCCGGGGCCGCCATCTTCCTTTCAGGGGAGATGAGCTCCATAACTCCATTCCTGGTGCCCAGGGCGGGGGCCATCCCCCCAGCTGCCAGGGGAAGGCCGAGGTGGTTGGGTTGCACAGGGCGCGCCCCCGCCCTCCCCACTGGGCCTGTCTTTGGAGCCACAGGGGAAGTAGCTGCTGAGAAAGCTGGCTGGCACTTGTTTCCGGAGGGTGCCGGCTGACTGTGTGTTGTGAAATTTGGTGGTTTCTCTTTCTCTTCTCTCTTCTCTGGAAGGAACTGTAGGCCCCACAGTGGTGGGGGCAGCCAGCTTCTGGAGCCCCCCGGGCTGAGAGGCCGTTGCTGCTCCCAAGGGGCTTCCTGGCCTGGGACCACAAGCCAGTGACTGTTGGAACTTGAAGGGGACCAGGCTGTAGTGGGCCCAGGATGACGGGCAGAGAGGGCTGAGCCTGTCCCCCCGTCCTGCCCACGAGGCCCAGAAGCAGCAGCAGAACTGCTCCTCGCCTGGTCATCTCACCCGCACCTGGCCCCAACTGGGGAAGTGACAGAACTCCTGTGCCCCTCTGACCAGCCTGTCCCCTCCCAGAGCAGAGCTGTCCAGGTGACGCTGACAGGGGCTGAGGTGGAGGCCGGCTTCCTGGCCTCCTACGCAAGGGCCAGGCCTCTAGAGCAGTGCTCAACCCTTGTGTGCCGGTGCAGCCAGCTCACCGGGAGCCGCGCTAGGAACTGCCCCTGTGCTGGCTGCCATCTTGTCCTCCAGTCAGCCCTACACGTTGGTTGCGCAGTGACCTTCCTGCCCCAGCCTCCTGAGTGCTGGGATTATAGCCACCACCACCACACCGGGGCTCTGAGTTGATTTTTACTGCAGCAGTTTGCTAGATAGAAAATAGCCATCTATTAGTTTGGAATGCATGGGCTGGGGATATAGCTCAGTGGCCCAAGCGCCTGCCTGGCAAGCGCAAGGACCCGAGCTTGATTTCCAGCATGGAAACACACAGACCTGATTGGGAATGCATATCCGTGAGTCCCATCACAGACTGGTGATGTCAGGGCATGGACGGAGGAGTGTCCCATCGACATTTCACCGCAGATTTTGTCTTGCAGCTGACTTCGGTGTGTCTGCTAAGAACCTGAAAACTCTGCAGAAGCGAGATTCCTTTATAGGAACGCCTTACTGGTGAGTCGCGGGGCTTCTGGAAACTGAACTGAGCACTAAACCTAAAACTCAACCTCAGAGGCCAGGAGGCGAAACCCCCCCTGGGTGGGCCGGCCTCCCCTTAGCAGTGCTGCAGCGGCGTGGGGCGTGCAGCTGAGCTGTCCTGTACCTCCATTCCCTCCTCTGTAAACGGGGACTATAGAGGGGACCTCATTTATAGGGTCACAGAGGCGGCATGACGCATGTGGCAGGCAGCCACAGTAACTAAGCGGAATCTATGAAAAATGGCTGGGTTCGGGAGTCACTCCGCTCGCGCGCAACGAGTACCAGTCACTGGTGGGGGTGGGGGCGGAAGGTGAGCACCAAGGTCGTCTCCTACCCGCCCCAAGCCTCTCTGGATCCCCCAGTCTCCTGTATTTCCTTCCTTACTAAAACTATGACTTTAAAAGAAACAAAGCTGTCACTCAATTTCACCCCTAATTTCTGTTTTGTGGTGTTTTCACAAATTGCCGTGGTGGAGTTTAGCTCCTTTCTTGCGTATTTCTCTTAACCGGTTCTCTCTCCCCTTTTATTCCTCTTTCTCCTGTCTCTCCCATCCCTTTGCTCTCTGTGCTGTCGTGTCCTGGCCCCCCAGCCCCACCCCTCCTGCTGCACCTTCCCCTCTGGCTCCCACCCGGCCCTTCCCCAGGACTCTGTGTTCTGGATCGCTGCCGCCACCTGGTGGTGGGCCTTGGGAACTGCAGCAGGCATGGCGGCGCCTCAGTAAAGGTGAAGAAAGAAGGTCTAAGGAAGACAGTGGGATGTCAAGTAATCCAAACCACAGTTGGAAAAAAAATCACAGTTGGGGAGTGCTGCCGACCCCTGACACGGGCTGGTGGTGGTCCTGGACCCTGAATCTTTGAGAAGGGCCTGTGGAGGCCAGGTGCTTAGCCCTCTGTTGTCCCTTGGTTGGTGCAGGATGGCCCCTGAGGTGGTGCTCTGCGAGACCATGAAGGACACGCCGTACGACTACAAAGCGGACATCTGGTCCCTGGGCATCACGCTAATTGAGATGGCGCAGATCGAGCCCCCGCACCATGAGCTCAACCCCATGCGGGTCCTGCTCAAGATTGCCAAGTCGGAGCCCCCCACGCTGCTCATACCCTCCAAGTGGTGAGGCGCGAGGGGACCCGCCCTGGAGTGGGGGGCACAAGGGAGGAAGTATTGGGGCTCTGGGCCTCTCAGACCACGCTGCTTTTTTCTCTGTGCTGTGGGCACGGGAGCTAACCAAGTTGATCCCATGGTGGGCCTGAGAGCCCAAGTCAAGCCCTAGCAGCCCCCTGAGTTTGGAAAAGGAAGCTTGGGCTGCTGTCCTCACTGGATGGCCTAGCAGGCCCCTGCTCTTTGGGTGCTCCACTTCAGCCCATAAAGGTGTACCCTGTCCTTAGAGCAGGTAACTCCTTGGGGGTCTGGGCATGGGGGTGCCTCACCTCCCAGCCCTGCGCCTGCTGCCCAAGCCTCTGCTCTCAGGTCAGCGCAGTTCCGGGACTTCCTGAAGGTAGCCCTGGATAAGAACCCGGAGACGCGCCCCACCGCCGCGCAGCTGCTCGAGGTGAGTCGCCCCTTTTCTGGGCAGGCAGATGAGTGCATCAGCGACCCAGGTGTGGCTGCCCCCTCACCACCGCACCCACCCGCCTGGCAACTGGACCAGCCCCGTGATGGGGTGGGGGTGTACACACAGGGTCACACGGGACTTGGGCTCATGCAAAAGGGGAGACATTGTCTGATTTTCTATGGAACAAGTGGGTGCTTTGTGTGGGACTAGGGGACCTGAGTGTTCCATTAGCTGCTGCCCAGCCTTAGCATGGGAAAGAGGGTTGCGTCCTTGAATCTTGTCAATATAGTTGTGAGCCTCCTTTTCCCAGCAGTGCTGCAGCTGCTGCTGGGGTGAGCGCCAGAGCGTTCACACCCGCACCCACTGATAGAAGAGAGAGGAAGTGGGCCTGCCTTGTACAGTGGGGCTGTCCCTCCACTGCCCTGCCCACTCTACTGGCCTAATGAAAGTCCTTTCCTAAGCCCACCCAGCTTCCACCAGCTACCTACTGTGTGCCAGGCACCAGGTCTGAAGGTGGTTAATATTTGGGCTTAGAACGCATCTTTGTGGCTAAGGGCATCTTAGCGATTACAAGTATGAGCCGGGGTTGGAAAGTCCTGGGTTCAAGTCCTAGTCTCTTACTGGCTGTGCAATCTCTCTGTGCTCCAGAGTGGGTAGTAATAGAGATGGCCTCCTCGCAGAGTGATTGTGAGGATTCAGTGAGAAGACACCATCGAGCACTTAGCTTAACTGGTATGTGCAGTGCAGAAGGGATGCTTGATAGGGTGAATTTATTGTTTAGAAACATAGAGGAGCCCGAATGCGCAACGGGGCCTGTCTGTTCAAAGGTCCTGATTGTTCCTTTTACGTTTCTGTAGTCTGCTTAAAAGCAAATATCTGGAGTTCCAGATGGCCTCATTTTCTGGGTATTGCGGTGTTTGCTGGCTGTGGGGAGGCTGCTGTCGCTGTCAGATGCCAAAGCTCCAAGCCACTCAGGCCCAAATATTTCCTGCGAGCTGGCCCCTCCTGCCCCATGCATCCGGCCCACAGGACATTCTGCAGGGAAGAGACCAGCTGTCCTCAGCCCACTCAGCAGCCCCAGAGCCTCAGGCTGAGCCAGGAATTTCCGCTCCATAGTTGGATAAAATATCCTGCCGGGGACTCTGAGCAGACGGCAGACGGGTTGCAACAGAAAGCAGAGATCTCTCAGAACAATGAGACCCCTTCAGAGCTGGTGCTGCCACCAGCCTTTTCTATGCACCTTGCTATTTCCGAGATGGGGAGGGCAGGGACAGTCTTACACAGGGGAGATGAGCAGGCCAAGGCTTGGAGTGGGGAAGTAACTTGCCCAAGGTCACCTGGCGCTGAGTGCCAGAAGTAGGTACAGATCTTGGCTGCCCAGCGCCTGCTCTGCAGCTGTCTGTGCCCCAACTTCAGCCTCCCTGCTTCTGGGAGGGGTCCCATCTTCTTGTCTGTCCCCAGTGCCTCTGTGACTCACGCCCCCAGGGTCTTATGGTTCGTTCATTCACTCCCACAGATAGTCTTTGGAGCAGCATCCTGCCCTAGTTAGTAACCCAGGCTCTGGAATCCGGGTAGGTCTCTCTGGGCCTCGGTGTCCTCATCTCTCCATGTGGCTGGCACTTGGCTCACACAATGGTGCTAGCAAATGTGGTTCTGTAGATGCCCTTCTTCTCTCTCTCTCTCTCTCTTTTTTTTTTTAAAGTATAACATTCAATTTATTATTTTTTTCTCAAGAGAGTTTTCTTCAGTCCATTAAGACCCAGCTTCCCTTACATGGGCGTTGGTGGAGGTCGTGGGGCAGCACCAGCAGGTCTAAATCGGGGTGGAGGAGTTCGGTCCTTACGGGCTTCACGAGATCGATTTCTGACCACTTTGCTGTGAATAGCACAACTCACACAATAATGCAGCTTCACATACAGCTTGGGAAGCACATAACCGTCGAAGACACTCGCTTCGGAAATGTCGCTGACGGCGGCAGCCTCCACTATGTTCCAAATGACAAACTTCTTAATATCCTTATCCTTGGGTACGCACCAGGCACAGTTCATAGAGCAAATAGGCTGCACATGACCGCGGCCCTTTTTGGCACTACTGTTGTTCCTTCTTTTTTTTGTCATCTTGGAAAGGAGGACCCGAAAGAGGAGATGCCCTTCTTAGCAGCAGAGAGGCCCGTCTAATTTGTTCTGAAGCTCACCCACTCTTACACCCGTCCTGGTCAAGGTCATCAGTGATGTCTGTGTTGATGAACACAACAGTCAGCCTAGGTCTGGGTGCTTGTCCCCCTGAGCCCGTCGACAGCATCGGCCACAGTCCAGCACCCTTCCTTGCCTCTGTCTGCACTTGACCTCCAGGACCTCCAGGCCCCGTGCACACTGGGTCTCCTTTTCATGGTCCTCCTCCACCCATCTGGCAAATGTGGACGTCTTTCCCACATCGCCGCTCACCCTGCCCATCTCATCCTATTTGCAGCGACCTTCACCCAGGCTGCCCCCACTTCTCCAGGGCTGGCAGTGTTTATCTGTCTCCCCTCAGTGTCCAGTAGGTATCTCTCACTGATGGTGGCCACAGCGAGCCCTGAACCCTGCCTGGTCCACACACTACGCATGGCCATCCCAGCTCAGCCTGCAGCAGCTTCAGTCCTCTGCCAGCTCAGGCCTCAGACCCTGCAGGCCGCCTCTCTCTCCTCTTCTATGGCCATTAGGGCAGGAGCACTGCTGCCTGGCCTTCAGGACACACCTGAAATCTGCCCACGTACCCCCTCCGTGACCGCCACCATCTTGAGCCGCTGCCGCATTCCACCTGCAGGATGGCTTCCTCCCTATCTCTCTGCCATCTCTCCATCTGTTCTTAGCTTAGCAGGCGTAGGAAGGCTTGGGAACATGGTCAGCTCTTGTCCTTCTGCATCCAAGCTCCCGAGTGGCTGCCATGCCGCTCGGAGTCCCAGGCCGAGCCTCTGTGAGCTGTGAGACCCTGTGTGCTCTACCCGCCTCAATTGTTGACCTCGTCCACCCTGGCCATGCTGTTCAAGCGCACAAGACATGCTCCTGCTGCAGGGCCGTTGCACTGGCGCTCTGCTTGGCTTGGAAAGTTCTTCCCCCAAGACCTCCCCCAGAGACACAGCTAGGGTTCTGATCCTGGTGGTTTGGTTCCAGAGCCTGTGTGTTGCTCTGGTCAGTCACCTCCCCACATGAATGAAGGAGAAAAAGAAAGAATGATAGGGCTGGGGAGATGGCTCAATAGAATAAGCACTTGTCTGGCAAGCGCAAGGGCCTGAGTTCAATCCCCTGTTCCAAAAAAAAAAAAAAAAGAAAGAATGATAGAGAAAAGAGTGAGAGCGGAGAGCCTCAGACAGGAGAGAGGATTGACTCTGCTGGCGCTTGAAACCCTGAGAGCCCCATGAGGCATTTTTCACAACCGGCCGTGGAGTATTAAGGCCCCTGGCTGGTGATTTCTAAACACTCATGAAGAACTAAAAATGGGCTCAAATTCTTTAAGAGGGTGTGTGTTTAGACGGTAGGAGGGAAGCCGGCCTGAGGGCTGTCCAGTTGGCAAGCTGCGTGGTGCCATCCTCGTCTTGGCATCTTGGGGCTTCCAGCAGTGGTGGCCCTGAACAGCCACCTTTCTTAAGCCCCTTTCTGAAGGGACTGGTCAGTGGCCAGCCCCGCTGGTCATCTAGAAGCCTTCTTCCCCTTGAGGCATTGCCAGGACCCCTGTAAGGGGCTTTGGTGGCCTGGGGGCTGGAGAGAGGCTTCCCTGAGCACTCCCTGGGGGCAACGGAGCCAGTGCAGTGTGGAGCCCCAGCCATCTGAGCTGTGTGTCCTAGGCAGGTGTCCTGCCCTGGTGTCCCAGGAGTGCCCTGCTGGCCCTCTCCGTGGCCATTTTTCTCACTGCTTCCTTCCTTCCCACAGACTGTGGTGCTCTAGGGCAGGCAGTGAGCCGTGGTCCTGCCTACAGAAAGTGAAGCTCCTGGCCACGGCAAGCAGCCACTAATTCAGTCCGTCTATGGAGTGCCCTGGAGTAGTATTTGTTTTGTGTGTGTGTGGTACTGGGGATCAAGAACCTTGTACCTGGCAGGCAGGCACATAAGCCACTGAGCTGTCTCCCTGGCCCCTGGAGTAGATTTAGCATTTCCCGAATCCTTCACTGTGGTGTTCATTTCTGCCTTGTCCACTTCAGCTGCTGCAGTGAAGCACCGTCGGCGGCTCACTCAGTTATGTGCGTGAGGCACTCAGTGTGGAGCTCAGGAACCCTCGGCATCTTGGGTCTCAGCCTTGCTCCCAAAAAAGCTGTGTTGTGTGGGTGGAGGAGTGGCCAGGAGCCCAACAAGGGCCTCCTGGATTGTGCTGCTGCTGCTGGAGATGCTGGGTGGTGGCAGTGATTGGTGAATGATGGGAGTGGTGAGGACAGGAGTGATGGTCACAGTGACAGTGTGCTGATGGCGATGGTAACCATGGCAGCTGCCACGTTGTGAGCACCTCTGGTACATGGAATAGCTATAGCTGTGTTCTTACAATACAGATGAGTAAACTGAGGCTGAGAGAGGTTTCATGATTTGCCCAAGCTAGTTGTGGAAGCTGGATTTGACCCGAGGTGGACTGGCTATGCCACCATAATCCGTAAGCCCTGACCTCCTTAGGGAGGCACCTGCCGCTGCACAGGCCCCAGAGAGCTCCGCCACGGTCTTGTTGATCATACAGGTCCATGCCTTCGGCTGTCCATTCCCTCACAGGCTTACACCGCGCCTGGCGGGTCACCTCGCTGGCGCCACTGTGCAGCTGTGGAACAGAGCAGCAAGTAAATGGGAAAGTGAGTGAGCAAAGCAGATAAATTCATGAAATTCTCACCAGATGGGCAGAACTGGAGGAAGCTGGACTGGCTTAGGAAGAGGTGGACGACAGGGCTCAGTAGGAGCCATGGCAGTGACGGCACTCAGGAGAGCAAGCGGGAGAGGCTGCTGCCTTTGCCCAGGGAATTTTTGTGCTTTATTTCATGGTGCCAGGCTTGGAACCCAGGGCCTCGTGCATGGGCAAGGGCTCGACACAGCTGCATTCCCAGGCCGAGCAGTTTTAAATGAGCAAGCAGATAAGAATGATTTATGGCGAACATACCAGCTCTGAATGTGTTTTTAAAGTGAGAGAAATGTATCCTTTCGTCCTACATACTTTCCCAGCAATCTTGTTGACGCTGTTCTGCAGATAAAATTCCTGATAGTAAAGCAGTAAATTTTCAACAGAGCCTTCTTACAAAATTTCAAATGAACAAATTCCAACTTCACGACTCCCCCATCTCTTGCCCTCCACTGCTTTCCCAGGGCCCGGGTGAGCAGTGGGCGAGGAATCCCTTCCCGCCAGCCGCACCCCGGGGCTCGGAGGAGGCTCCTTAGGGTGGGCTTCTGTCCACCCGGATGCCTTGCAGAGATTTAACACCTTTGCATTAACTTTATAAAACTGTGCTGCTTCTGTGAATGTTGAGAATGGAACATGTACCACTCTGCTTCAAGAATTCGTTTTTCTGGCCAGCAAGACAGCTCAGCAGACGAAGCGCCTGCTTAGGCAAGTGCAGGGACCAAACCCCAGTCCCTGGCACCACATGCTACACCAGCCCTGACCCGGGCGCGCTGAGCTGGCCACACATGTCTGAAATCCCAGCGGTGGGAGGCTGAAAATAGGAGGATCACTACAAGTCTGAGCTGCATAATAAGACCCTGCAGAAAAAAAGAAAGAAAAAAAGAATTCACATTTCTTTTGTTAAAACCAAGCGCCTGCATCCATCCAAAAGTGACATCATATATACCTCTGCTTGCAGTGATGTCACACATGGTCACTAAAACTGGGAAGTGACCTACGAGTCCACCAGCGAATAAACAGGCTATGGCATATTCATGCTGTGTAATAAAGGGACCACTGGGCTGGGGACAGAGCTCAGGGGCAGAGCGTGTGATTTCCTCCGTAGTGTGCACTAGGCTCTGGGTTTGAGTCCCAGCATTGCACCACACACATGCACACGTGTGTACACACACACACACACACACACACTTTACTAAACCACACAACAATGTCCAAGCATGACATTGAGTGAGAAAGGCAACACTGACGACTTCTATGCTTGACACTCTGCGTAGGAAGTGAAGAGCAGGCAGAATTGGACTCTGGAGGTGGACGGCCAGGGAGTAGGTGCTGCAAGCCAAGGCCAGGAGCTCTCCAGCATGGTGGAAATGATCTGTATCTTTTCTTGGCAGTACTGAGGGTTGAATCCTTTGCACTGAGCTACATCTCCATCTCTGTTTATTTGTTATTTTGAGATGAGATCTCGCTAACTACCTATGCTGGGCTCAAACTTGCAATCCTCCTGCTTCAGCCTCCCTCAGTAGTGGGATTACTGCTGTGTACCACCAGGCCTGGCTGAAATATCCTCTGTCTTTATCAGAGTGTTGTATAAATAGGAAGCGTTAGCAGTCTTAACAATGCATGAGCCTTACCGCATGTAAGCTATAACTCAGTAATATTAGTATATATGTGGCGTATTTGTAAAACTGTTCATCAAAACCTTTTAAATAGAAAATGAGCAACTATGCCAGTAAAACCCCTCAAGCATTGCTTTGACCCCTCCTGCGTTGACCCTTAAGCTGTCACATACTTGTGTTCTCTCATTTCATCTTCGTGACCTTCATGTGGCATTGACATTACCGTCTCCAGGGTCTCTGGGGTGAAGTGACATGCTCAGGGTCACACAGCTTGTGAGCAGAAGAGCTGGGATTTCCCTCTTTCCACCGCATGCAGACTTCTAAGCTGCCTCTGGGTTTCCCAGATTGAGTTCATGTTCACTCATCATGCAGGGCTGTGTGTGGCCCTCTCCTCCCTGAGGACCGGCTCCCCCAGCGGCTCCCCCCAGATGCCAGCTGTCCTCACACAGATGTGTTTGCCTCCTCAGCACCCCTTCGTCAGCAGCGTCACCAGTAACAAGGCCCTGCGGGAGCTGGTGGCCGAGGCCAAGGCCGAAGTGATGGAGGAGATTGAGGACGGCCGGGACGAGGGGGAAGAGGAGGATGCTGTAAGTGCAAGAAGCGCGGGGGGCCAGGGAGGGCCGGAATCCACAGGCCTGGGCTTGAGGAGCTGAAAGCAGGGAAGAATTCTGTTCCTCTCCTGCCTAGCTCCGAGGTTCAGATGCCTACGCAGCAGGTTATGTAAGAGGGTGCACAGGGTGGACTGAGGCCACGGGGGTGGGTGTTGGCCAGATTCTGAAATTTTCAGGAGAGGCCAGGAATCTAGATTCTCTCGTGAAACCTTCCCATTTACAAGAGTCAATCACTGAGTTGTCACTTCCTGGTCTTTTCTCTGGCATGGCTCATGTGGATGTCTTTAGCACCCTTTGGCATAAACAGGTGAGGCAGCATATGGTCAGCAGCAACTGGCCGGAGACTTTGGCTATCCGGACCCCATCTGGCCACCCCAAGGCTCAGGAGACCAGTGACTCAGTGCATTTGTAACCCATCTGCAGATTCAGCATTTTCTGAATTTAATTAGCAATAGCAGCAAATTTAACTTGATAAAACTATTTGAGGCAAGCCTGACATGTCAGTGTGCTGGAGCCTGTTGTGGTCCCTGGGTGAGCTGTGTAGGGGAGCTCCCTCCAGGAGCTATCTTGATCATCTCTGTGCCCAGAAAAGCAGGCTTGGACTTGCCCATCAGCAGAGCTGGCCCACATCTGCTTGCTGGGGACAGTGCAGCTTTCTTAGGTTTAATATAGCTATTGTGAACCCCTCACCCCAGAACACAAAAAGCCACAAGAGGGTGGGTGGGATCCAGCCAGCCATGGAGCCCCAAGCCCCCGTCTCCAGATGGGAAAGCAGACGTCTGAGTTGGGAAATTCCCAGCTGGGTGGACAATTGTAGGCAGGGAGTGGAGGAATTTCAGCTGATCTGTCTCCAGGAGGGGACCTACGCTGGTGACGTGGCTGCCGAGGGGGGGCTGAGGAGGCAGGAAGGGGTGGGAGGCAAGACACTGTCAAGCCCACAGACAGGAAGCTGATCCTCCTGGGGACAGTGGGAGCCACAGAGGACTTTAGGCAGGGGCTGGGTATTAATGTGAGCGCGGCAGCATTAGTTCTGTGGTTTTGAACTATTGTCCTGGATATTGACTAGAAAGTAGATTGAGTTTCCTCTGCTAGTCACCCTGTCCAAAGGCAAAAACGAGGCTGGCAGGACTCAGAAGAACATTGAATGTGATCCCATTGGACTCCAGCTGGTAACAGGCAGACTCACCTCCAGGTGGAGGCTTCCAGGCAGAGTGAAGATGGATTGTATTGAGGGGAGGGAGAAGATTGCCGCTGGGAAGGAAGGCCTTCCTGGAGAGTCGCTGTGTGGCTCTCAGTTTCTTCATCAAGCTGAGCAGTCACTTTATTTATCTATTTTTCCATACTTGAGAAATCAGGAGGTCTGGCCTCCAGAGGGTGGAAGGAAGGTCCCTTTTCCCCCATTGTCACAATTGGAAGAGCAGGCGCTGGGCCCTTCTTCCTGCTGGCCACATTTGCCTGTGCTCCTAGCAGTTACTAATTTAAGCTAAGATTAAAGAGGGTCCAGAGATTGCTATTCCTCACACTAAATAGTCATTTCTCATAGGGTAGTATATTACCGCATGTCCTAGTGCATTATTAATGAGGCAGTGAGGGGTGGTGGAGGCTGTGCTTTAGAGCATTTCCTCCTCTACTGGCCTGGCCCCAGCCCCACGCTGGGGTGGTCTGCCTCAGCCCTGCTGTGTTTCTCACCGTCCCCATGGATAGACAGCAACATCTTCTATCTCAACTCTCCTTTTTGTAATCTCAACTCTTCTTTTTTTTTTTTCAGTCCCTTGGGAATGACACTCAGGACTCTTCTGAGGCAAATCGGCTGAGCCTCAATGCCAACAAACTCCAGGAATCTTCTATGCCACTGCCACCCAGCCAGCCTCAGGACAGTGTGAACGGGCCCTGTAGCCAGCCTTCTGGGGATGGAGCCGTCCCAGCTGCCCACGTGCCAGATGGAGCCCCTGCAAGTGAGAATGGCCCAGCCGTGCCTGTTCCCCTCCGGAAGTCCCGGCCAGTGTCCATGGATGCCAGAATTCAGGTGGCTGAGGAGAAACAAGTCACTGACCAGGCGGGGGACCTCAGTCCTGCAGCCAGCAGGTCCCAAATGGCAGGCCAGAGCCGGCCCAATAGCAGCGCCCTGGAGACCTTGGGCAGCGAGAAACTGGTCAATGGCAGCCTGGAGCTCCCCACCCTGGCAGTGCCAGGCCCTTCCAAGAGGGCCTCGGACTCCGGCAGCCTGTCCACCTGTGGGAGCATGGACTACAGCTCCTCCCTGTCTGCCGACCTGTCCCTGAACAGAGAGTCAGGCTCGCTGTCCCTCAAGGTAATGCCACTGACTGTGCCGCAGACTTGGAACGGGAGTGCTCAGGGGACTGCTGCTTGCATTTGGTTCCCAAAAGCGTTTATTGGCTGTCTTCCATGCTCATCCATGTGTATGACCTACAGTGTAGGAACTCCGTACATCTGTTCAGTGTGTACTGATCACACCTGGGTAGTTAGTATTGCCTTCGCCTTAGCATTTCTTTGGGTTTGAAGCCTTCAAAGTCTTCCATTTCTTCATAAAATGTAGAGTAGGTTGTTTTACTCTGTAGCCACCCAGCTGGGGACAGCAGCTTTTACATAGAAGCATGGCCTTCCTTTCTTATCCTAAAAAAGATATTGGAAAATTTTTTCTTTTAAAAATAAAACCAAGGGGGCTGGGGATTTGGCTTAGTGGTAGAATGCTTACCTACCAAGCTGGAAGCCCTGGTGTTTGGTCCTCAGCACCAAAAACAAAAAATAAACCTCTCCTAAAAATAAACCCAGAGTCAGGGATATAGCTCATTGGCACAGTGCCTGCCTGGCAAGTGCGAGGTCATAAGTTTGATTTCTGGTACCAGGAAAAAAAAAAAAAAAAACTTCCCCTCCACCCCAGGTATCACAAATGTTCTGGGCTGCTGTGAATTAGGGGACACAGCTGGCCTAGTAAGGTCCACACGCTGCATCAGTGCCTTTGGCCTGGCCAGGACCCTGTGACTCCAGGCACAGAAGACCTGTGACCAAGAGTACTTTTCACCTGTGGATTTTGGCCTTGACTTTCCTCCTCTCTATGCCCTTCCTCCTACTTCCCTCATTTCTCACTGCTGTCCTGACCGTTCTGCATCCTCCAGTGTGTGCTGGACCCTTCTGACAGATCCGGATTGGGTGGGCTCAGTGATGGAGAACCTTGTAGAGGCCAAGTGCCCAAACTACGACCCAAAGCCCAGTTATTTATCACGGAGTGCCAACACTGCAGTTAAGCCTGAATGCTGAGGCTTTAGTTTAGAAAAAATAACTGTTAGCTGACACTTGGCTACTGTCATGTCATGGTTCACATGCCCAGAGAGAGGGATCTGTGTGCTTGCTGTGGCACGTGTGCCATTGGTTTGCCACCCCTGGGCAAGCTGGTCCTCTGCCTCTGCTATCAAGAGTACTCCAGGCCAAGTGTGCTGGGGGACATGAGTAGGTCCCCATTCAGCACAGGGGAGCTCAGCAGGATGCGAGATCCACCCACCTGGCTCACAGAGGAATGTCCTTGATGGGTGTGTTGCAAGGGCTGGGCACAGCTGCACCAAGAAGGGCATCAGGACTCAGCAGAGAGGTCAGAGGCCAAGGGCAGGAGGAAGTCAGGAGGAAGCCAGTGCAGGCCCCAGCCCTCATCAGAACCTGAGCTATACTGCGTTCTTCCAATGGTGTAGTGCCTTACAAGTACCACTGTGATACTGCCTGGGGTCAGGGCGGGACCCTGAGCAGCTGGGTGTGAAATACACAGTTATTCACAGTAAAAGATAAAGATGGGGAGTAATCCTGCAGCTCCTGACAGGTGTGGCTGCTGGTGGAGTTCAGGCCAGGCCATGTTGGCTGCCAAATCCATTATGCAAACAACCCTTAGTTTTCAGAGTCACTTTGGATTTGAGCATCACAGACAAGAGACTGGTCTGTCAGAGACAAATAACAAACACCGAGCTTTACTGTGAGCTGGGCCTGCCCTGTGTGCCCTTGCATGGCCTTTTGTCAAATTTTATAACCATGGACAGTGGAGGAAGCTGAGGATCAGGCAAGGACTTGCCCAGGGCCACAGAGCCAGCAAGTGGTACAGTGGGGATTTAAGACTCAGCTCCTTCTGATATCCTGTGCTTCTGAGAGTCTGGCAGCAAGGAGAAGGCTGAGATCAGGGGCAGCAAGGGCCCTGGCATGCAGCCCCCCAGGTCACGAGCTCGGGCTAAGAGGAACACAGGGCCAGGAGAGCTGTGTCAGCCCCAGATTCTTAGCTGAGATACTAAGCTTTGCCCTGTGTTTTCCTTGGTCAGGACTCCAGGCTGCACAACAAAACCCTGAAGCGGACCCGCAAATTTGTGGTGGATGGTGTAGAAGTGAGCATCACCACCTCGAAGATCATCAGTGAAGATGAGAAGAAGGACGAGGAGATGAGATTCCTGAGGCAAGCCTGGCAGGGATGGGGTAGGCTGCAGGGCATTGGGCCTTTAGGTGAGAGAGCTGTTGGTCTCTAGTATGAAGTGGCAAATAATGGAGACACAGGGAACTAGATTTGCTTAAGATCCTATGTTCCCATCCATCTGGCCACCCAGCCCACCCCCCACCCATCCATTCATCCTTCTGGTCACCCATTCTGTCTACCTACCCAGTTATCTATTCATGAACCCAATAACCCATTAAGCCAACCACTGATCTACTCTTCTTAGGTATTTGTCCCTCCTTTCACCTACCCATGTATCTATGTAGTCATCTGTCCACCCATCCACCCATCTACACATCCATCCACCCACCCACCCACCCATACATCTATTATGTTTACATCCATCCATTCTTCTGTCCATCCATCCACCTGTTCATCTATAGGGATATAGGGATGGCTTCCATCCCTCCACCCAAGCATGTATCCATCCTCTCACCCATTTTTCATCTATTATCTCTTTATTCATCTAACTCCTCACCCATTTATTGTCTGTCCACCCAACCATCCATCCACCTGCTTGCTCCACCCATCTGCCCATCATCTGTCTGCCCACCCACCAGGAAGGGATGGGATGCTAACCCGCATAAATGAAGCTGTTCCCTTTGTGGAACTTACACCTAATGGGCTAACACACAAGATGTGAGATAAGTTTTAATGGTGACATTGTACATGAAGTAATGGGTGATAGAAAGCACCTGGGTGGGGAGAGGCTGCTGCTCTTGAACCCTTGAGCTCAAGGGGTGAGAGAAGCCAGCTGTATGCAGAACTGGGGGAGCACAGAGGGAGCTGTAATGATGGGGCCTATGGGGTGACTCCTCAGTTTGTTTCCGAATCTGAGAGGACAGGGCTAGAGTGTGGAACATCAGGTCAGGGGACAGGCTATACAGTCTTTAGGTTGGCAGGACCCAGGTCACATAGGCCTGTGAGCCAGGCCGGAAGGATGCCTTATTCCAGTTGTGGCAGGAGGGCAATGGCGGGGAGCAACCAGCTCACACTTCCCTTGGGAAGATTGCTCGGACTGCTGGAGAAGTGGCAAGAGTGGTGCAGGGGATGGGGCCACTGCAAGCAAGACAGCCAGGCGCTGGGCTCAGGCAAGGACAGCGGTGGGAGGTGGGGATCAGATGCAGTAAGTACCTAGGCGGCAACCCCAGCATGGCTGACAAGGGTTGGACTGAGGAACGAGGTGGGAGGGCAAGCTGTTTGCAGGAAACTTCCTTTGAAGTTTTCAGTTACTCAGCGCCCCAGCAGCCCACTGTGGGGAGACACTTTCTGCAAATGAGGAAACCTTCTTGGCAGATGAGTTCCATGCCTTGGATCTCCCCAGTGGCAAGGGACACAGCTGAAAGGCGACCTAGGTCTGTGCATGGGAGAATCCCTGCAGGTTCCTGCTGGGCATGCGACTGCCAGGGAAGCGGGTGCTGAAGATGGGGGAGTAAGCAGTTAGGGAAGCCTCCGAGGCCTGGGGCTCCTTGGGCCCAGACCTTTACAAGCTGAGTTCATTACAGGCTTGGAGAAAACTCTCACCAAACACGTTCATATGTTTTAAAAATGCAAACTTCGTAGAGAACAATAGAAGCAGCGTGGGATATTTCGGGGGTGCTTCTCCTATCTTGGAGCCCAGAGGATGAGGCTGTTGGTGGCATTTCTGTGCCCATGCATGTACACACACACACACACACACACACACACACACTCATACACATTCATGTGTCCTTATCCATGTGGGCTGGGGAGGCTGGGGCCCTTGGGAGATGCCATCCCTGGACTCTTCAAGCTTCAGGCCTCCCCGGCTGGGTTTCCATCACAGTTCAGGTCCCTTGCATTGAAGTTTCTGGGTGGCCACACTCCAGAGAGAAGCAGCACACTGTGGCCTGGTGGTGGATGCACACCCTGCTGAAAAGAGCCTCTGTGTGCCACTCCAGCGTGGAAGCTGAGGCTGCGAGGAGGTGGTGTGGTTGCTACTGTGGGCTCAGGGTCAGACATCCCAGCACAGGCTGCAGGAGTGTGGGTGGGCTCCAATCCATCCCCCAGGATGATGCCAGGGCACACCTGCACCTCAGCGCTTTTGCACATAAGGAGCTCTGCACTGAATGTCAAGGGCCTCCTGTTATTTCCTTCCCTGGCCATCTGCCTGCCTTAGTGCCCATGGGAGCACATGAAGTTCAGGACACTGGGAACCAGCGCCCACCTTCTGTCTGACATCCTGTGTGTGTAGCTTTGTTTCCCTGAATCAGGACTCTCCTTTAACACTGGAAAATCGCTCTGACCTTTCTGGTTTCTAGAAAAATATGCTCAGAAAGAGGCTTTCTTATGTGAGTGTGGGAAGCCTCCCTGGCATTCCCCAAACATACAGGGAGCGTTGCCCCTTGCGCTTCACTGTTGCTGGTGCACTTGGCACTTACAGGCTGTCCCTGCAGCATCTCATTCAACACGCAGAGACTCTGAGAGCTAGAGGCTGTCAGTTGCGCCTTACAGACTAGGAACCAGGGGCCTGCAAGGCTCCCAGAACTCTTGCTGGGAAGTCAGCAGAGCTGAGATTCAAATGAGGACCCCGTGGTTGGTGAGGGCTCTGTGAGCAGTCCTGCCCATCTGAGCCAGAGGCAGGGCCAGCCAGGGCCAAGCCACCTGCAGGGTCACCACGCAGGGACTGGAGGCCAGCCTGAAATAGAGTTCAGACCTCATGCACCTTAACTCCCAGGGAGCCCGCTGCTCACAGCAGCATAGTCAAGGTTTCTTGGCAGCATTTTATTGTTTTATTCCATAAATGATACATAGCAGTGTTTTCTGGGCTGCCGCAGAAAGAAGTGTGGTTAATTAATGTCTGGCCCCACTTGCCAGTCTTCTCTGGCATACACACGCATGCGCACATGTTACAAAATTAAGATGGACCTTATGGCTTAGTTTAAATCTTTATTAGAATAGTTTTTTTAATGTCATGGTTCTAAAACTTCTTTAGAAAGTGAAAAATCTCTTTCCTACCAGGTAACCAGTTGTACATTTCCTTTCCCTCTGTATTTTTGTTGGGTTGGTTGGTTTTTGATTTTTTGCAGTGCTAGAGATTGAACCCAAGGTCTTTACACTGAGCTATGTCACCATCCCTTTTTATTTTTATTTTATTTTATTTTTTTTAATTTTTATTTATTTGAGAGAGAGAGAGAGAGAGAGAGAGAGAGAGAGAGAGAGAGAGAGAGAGAGGTGTGTGTGTGTGGCCAGCTCAGCCCACCAGGGGGCGGGGCTGGCTGGCATGTGGTGCTGGGGGATTGAACCGCGGTCCCGATGCCTTGCCAAGCTTGTTCCAAGTAGGTGTTTTAGACCACTGAGCCATCTCTCCAGCCCACACCATCCCTTTTTAAAAAAATACTTGAGGGGGACAACCCGCTCGGGCCCCCCTCCTGTCTCTCTCTCTCAGACAGGAACTTACTTTCTCTCAATAAATATATTTTGCTCATAAAAAAATAAAAAGTAAAATAAAATAAATACTTGAGCCTCTAGGTTGTCTGGGCTGGGTTCACACTTGCAATCCTCTTACCTCAGGCTCCTGGTGACTGATTATAGGCGGGCACCACCACACCACTCATTAACACCTTACACTTTTCACTTAGAGATCTTTCTGTCTCTTCTAATGAGCTTTTTATTTTTCATAGATGCTTTCCCATGTAAGGGACCAGGGAGATGGCTCAGTAGATTAAGCGCTTCTCTGGCAAGCGCGAGGGCCTCAGTTCAATCCTCGGTTCTGGAAAAAAAATACAGCCATGTAATTATATAGTTTCTAAAACTTGATGTTTTTTGTGGCTACATGTAAGTCCATTGTGTAGATGTAGTTTATTCAGACCCCTACTGGTAGACATTTGTTCATAACTTAGCCCCTCCCCACATCCCTGAGATTCATTCAGTCACAGATTGAAAATCGTAAGGGGAAGGCGTCTGGACTGAACATGTACAAGCTTTTTTTAAAAAAAAAATTTTCTTGAGAAACAAATAGCAGTGAGACAGTTTCAAAACTGATTAATAGCTCAGTTTCACTAATTAATACGTTTCATATTGTTGTCTTAGTGGTTATTCATTGCACAAGACGCAGACATGGTATCCTGTCCACAGACACTATTAGAACAAATCTCTCTATTCAGTGATCCAAGAGAGTGCAGCTGTGTATCTGTCTTAAGTATTTTGAGCACACAGATACAAACTGGTCATTCGTTTGTATCCCCCTTTTTTGTTTTGTCGGAGAAGGGCATTCCATTGTCATTTAAATATTGTAGGTGCCTGAATTCAGCAAAATATTCCAATGTAGTCCAGTAGTCCATAATCGTAGTGGGTTTTCCATAAGACTGTCAATGACAGAAGTTGCTGATTTGGCCAGGGGGATGGCTCAGTGGAATAAACGCTTGCCTGGCAGGTGCCAGGGCCTGAGTTCAATCCCTGGTTCCTCCAAAAAAAAGAAAAAAAGAAGTTGTTGACTTGAGCCTTTTACAGCTCAGCATATTAATATGACTTTACCCTCCATACTCCGTTCCCACACTCTGTGCTAGTTAGTCAAGACCAAGACAAAGCAAGACCTATATAACAAGTAGTATAACTTTTGTTACATTACATCTACTGCAGTCTGTAGATCCTTTGTCAGTGTCAGCCATGTGGATGAGTCACGGCCATTGCTTGACCAATTTGCTTTCTGTGAAAGCCTGAGAGAATGTCTTCTCTCCATGTGACTCTCCTTAGGCACACTCAGTGTCATTGATCACTTTCCTCTGTGGCCCCATAATCTCCTTGATCAGAAAATTTGGGACACAACTGAGTTACAAGATGAACACGTACAAACTTTTCTTGTCATTGTTGCCTTAAAAGCACAATGATTTATGTAGCATTTGGATTTTTATTAGGTATTATAATTACCTAGAGATGAATTGGGGTAACAGGCGGATTGAGATGTGGGAGCAGGGTTCTATGCAGTGGTGCACCATTCATATAAGGCATCTGAGCATTCGTGCATTTTAGAGAGTCCTAGATCTAACTCCCAAAGAGTGTGGGGGACCATGTGTCTAGGTAACATTATTATACACATTCTTAGTCAATTCAGAAGTGGAACTACCTTGCCAGAAAGCATAAACTTACTGCCAAATTCTCCAGAAGTATTGTGCCAACTTATAACTATCAGCATTATATAAAAGTATGTTTCCCTTCTACCCTAACCTGTTGAGCTCATGTAAATGCCATTTCTTAATTTGCATTTCCTACTCATATAGAGAATAAATTTTTTTTTGTTTTTTCTTTCATGTCTGGTCATATTCTGTGCTACCTTTTTGGGAGAGTATCTCCTTTTCTTACTGTTTCATAAATACTCTTTATATATTGAGGCTATTCATGTTTTGTTTGTCAGTGAATATCTAATGCAGCCTGAGTTCCAGTCATACCTCTGCCTAAAATTTGTGTAGCTGTTTCATGATTCAGTCCTCATTGTCCCAAGCTGTGAGTACTACAATCCCTGAGGGACAGTCTCCAAATGAGCTCTGTTCATCCTTTAACCTTTCAGGCGCCAGGAACTCCGAGAGCTTCGGCTGCTCCAGAAAGAGGAGCATCGGAATCAGACCCAGCTGAGCCACAAGCATGAGCTGCAGCTGGAACAGATGCACAAGCGTTTTGACCAAGAAATCAATGTGAGTGTGGGGAACAGTGGGGCCTGGGGGCTTCTGCCTCTGTCTCCTTCTGCTGCGGAAGTGGGGGGTGGTTGGGGGGGAGAGTAGCCCACAAGCATTGCCCAGATCCTGGGGTCTCCTCATCTCATTAGGCTGGGACTTCAAGCGCAATGCGGAGATCCCAGTGATCATCTGAGTCACAGAGGAGCCCTTCTAGGGGGTGTCCTGCCATGCACCAGCCATCGTGGTCAATGGCCTGCTCTCCCCTTGCAGTGGAAGACGTGACTTGGAGAAGTGAAGTGACCGGGCCCTGGTCTCAGCACAAGCTCTGCTCTCTCTCCGCCTTCCCACATGGAAAGTGGCTTTGCTGAATTTCTCTGAATTTTTGCTCCTTTCAGGCCAAGAAGAAATTCTTTGACACAGAGCTGGAGAACCTGGAGCGTCAGCAGAAGCAGCAGGTGGAGAAGATGGAGCAAGACCACGCTGTGCGGCGCCGGGAGGAGGCTAAGCGCATCCGCCTGGAGCAAGAGCGGGACTATGCCAAGTTCCAAGAGCAGCTCAAACTGATGAAGAAGGAGGTGACTGTGTGCTGGCTGGGCAGGGACTTCTGGGGGCTTAGGACCCCCTGTGGTGCAAGGGATGGAAGGAAACCCTCGCCCAGCATCACCTCACAGTATGGGGCACTGTAGGGATGTGGAGGTGGCCAGTGCAGGTGTGAGTGCTGCACTGCGCCCCCAGGAGCCCTGGTCCAGCTCTTGGGGCTCTGCTTTCCTCCATGCTGGCTCTGTGCCAAAAGAGCAGGGAAGAAGGAAGCTGCAGTGGTGCCCCCAGCTGGAGATGCCAGTACCAAAAGGGGAAAGGGCGTAGCAGGGGCCTGCTGCACACCAGCCTCTGTGCTCTGGCCTCCCGTCCTCCTCCCTGGGGTAGAAGGGGAGGGGGCAAGGAGGTAGATGGCCCAGAGGTGCCTCTCAGCTGCTTCATAGTAGGGCATCTGGCTGGCAAGGAACAGCACACCCCTCCACACCTCCCTCCATAGACAGCGGGGGCCTGTCCATCAGCTCAGGTGTTTTAAGTGCCTGCTGAAACAAAGCAGTCAGGCTCAGGATGCTGTGGTTCTATCCCCTCATCCTCAAGCCAAATCAGACCTGCCCTGAAGGCATCCTGAGCGGGCCCCCCCAAAAAAAAATCCTCCTCTATGGACAGGTCAGGAGGTAGATATCGCTCTTAGCCCCTCAGGAGGACAGAGGAAGACAGGAAGGTAGAAGCCCCCATGATGCCCCAGCGTCCAGCTGACAGCAGAGCTGACCAGCCTTCGAGACTGGGCCATGTGCTGGGCCCCATTACTCTTGTGACAGTTGGTTCCCAGAGGCCCAGGCAGTCCTTTAGGAGCCCAGGCTGCTGAGCCTGGCCAGGGCTTGCCTGAGACTTGGCTCAGGCATAACAATTAAGGGACTGCAAACTGAGCAATCAGGGCTGGGGTGCAGCTTGGTAGAACGAGGCCCTGGTTCTGATCCCCAACACGTGCGCATGCACACGTGCACGTGCACACACACACACACACACACACACACACACACTCTCAGTAACTGAGATAAAAACAAAATGAGCTGGGCAGGCTGAACACAAAGTTCAGGGACAGCTACTAAGACCCTATCTCAAAATAAGATGAAGTGGTGTGGATATAGCTGAGCAGTAAAATGCTTTTCTAGACTAGACAAGGCCCTGACTTAAATTGCCAGTTTAAGAAAAAACTACTCTCATGTAATGAATGCAAATCAATTCATGAACAGAATACCAGCAACTAGGGTGAAGACAGGATTCGACAGGACTGGGACTAGGGTGAACCGGGGGGCTGGGTTCTCCAAGTGCACAGCTGGATTCTGTCTTGATACAACAGTCAAGGCATTTGGTTCATGAATTTTTTTTTGCATGAATTGTGATGTGTTTTAATGTCATTTATCTTGACGGCTGATTTTTGACGTCCCCTTCAGCTTTGTGGGCCAGCTTCCCCCTGATCCCAGCTCCCTACAGAGAGGGGCAAGTGGCCTGGGGCATATGGGGGTGGAAGAGAGGGGCCAGTTCTCAGCACAGGTCCAGCAGCCGCACTGAGAGCGTGGAATCAGGAGTCAGAGTTTCCAGTGTAGGCCCGCAGACCCTCTAGCAATTCCCTGACCTGGGACGAGCCATTGCCCTGACTTGCGGCTGTCTCTGTCAAAGGAATTGCCAGTACTCTGTGGACTGAGTGTAGGGTACCATGCTGGGAACCAGGTTGCTGCAGAGAGCAAACCAGACGGGCTGCCTACTCAAAGAACTGGAGTTCTGCAGGAATGTCAGAAAATGAGTTACACCAATAAATAAAACAGTTCCAGCATGCTGTGAAAGTAAACTGACTTGTTAGCTGGAGCAAATATGACAAGTTCTGCTCTAGAGTGCTGTGGGAGGGCCTCTCAGGATAAAATTTAAAAAGAGGAAGTGCTGAGGATGGAGTTCAGTGGTGAGGCATTTACACTGAGATGAAAACATTGCTGGGGGGGCTGGTGGGATGGTTCAGTGGTCTAAAGCACCTACTTAGAACAAGCTTAGCAAAGCACAGGGACTGCGGTTCAATCCCCCAGCACCACATGCCAGCCAGCCCCTCCCCCTGGTGGGCTGAGCTGGCCACACACACACACACACACACACACACACACACACACAAAATTTAAAAAAAAAAAAAATTTCTGGAAGGGGAAGCAGCATAGGCAAATCTCCTGTGGTACAAGGCAGAACTTGGAGTGGCGTGCTCAGAAGAACTGAAGAGTCGTCAGTGTTCCAGGAGCTTAAGAAATGAAAAGGAAGGGGGCCAGGGAGATGGCTCAGTAGGATAAGCGCTTGACTGGCAAACTCAAGGATCTGAGTTCAATCCCCGGTTCTGCAAAAAAAAAAAAGAAACGAAAAGGAAATGGGTGGGAGGTGAAGCAGGGCGTTACGCAGAGGCCACGTTATGTAGAGTAGGAGGCCACGGGCAGAAAGGAGGCTGCTATGTCACTGTCGTGAGCATCGTTGCCTCACGTAGAGATGTGGGGCCTTAAGTGAGAAGTAGCTGAAGGGTTAGACCCAGTGTCTGCCCTGGAATAAATGCCCATCTCCCCCCGCCTCTACCCCATCACACCCACATGCCTTTTGTGTGTCTGTGCGTAGAAGAAACTGTAAGAAGAAAAGAGAAAAGGTGCCTCAGAGGCGGCAGCGGGGCCTGGGGAAGCTACCAAGCTACTCTAACTTGACCAGAACCTACCCTTAACAAAGATAGGCTTTCTCCTTTGTGGATTGCCAGGTGGTCATTGAACTTGGGCACTGTGTGAACTCTGGTACCTGGGTTCCTGCGCAGAATCAGGCTTTGTTTTTTTGTGGTGCTGAAGACCAGGGGGCCTCGTGCATGCCAGGCAAATGCTCTACTGCTGAGCTTCACTCCCACCCCCAGATCCAGGTTTTATTTTCGGGGGGGTGGGGGTACCAGGAATCAAACTGAGGACCTCATTCTTGCCAGGCAGGCGCTGCACCACTGAGCTAAGCCTCCAGCTCCCCCAGATTGTTTTGTTGTTGTTGTTGTTGTTGTTGTTGTTGTTGTTTTCTGGCAGAACCAGGGATTGAACTCAGGCCTTTGCACTTGCCAGGGAAGCACTTATTCCACTGAGCCATCTCCCTGGCCCTTGTTGTGTTTGTTTTTAAATCTTTTATTTATGTATTTATTTGGCACAGGGTCTCACTGTGCAGCTCAGACTCCTAGTGATCCTCCTGTCCCAGCCCCCCCAGCACTGGGATTACACGTGTGCACCGCCACTTTCAGGGCCAACACAGTGTGCAGTACCAGGGATCAAACCTGGGTCCTTGCACTTGTCAGGCAAGTGTTTAGATCACTGAGCTATCTCCCTGGCCATCCAGATTCAGGTGTTTTTGTTGTCTGTTTTTTGTTTTGTATTTAGTACAGGGTCTTCAGGGTCTCACTACACAGATCGGACTCTGGGGCTGGCAAGGCTTGTAGTGCTGGGGATTGAACCCCGGCCCCTGTGCTCTGCCTAAGCAGATGCTTGTCTGCTGAGCAATCTGGCCAGCCCTCAGATTCAATTTTTAACAACCCCTCCACTCTCGCCTCTGGTGTTTTTCTTTCCGAAGTTTTCATGAGAAAAGGCTTGATTTCTTTGTGTTTTTAACTTTTCCAGAAGGACATGGCTCAGGCCATTTAGTAAGATTATGTCCCTGTTACTGTTCTTCTGTGCCGCCCCACTTGCTTGCTTTGACTCTGTGATTCACTTATTTAACAGCTGCTTGCTGGGGTTGTTTTGTTTGTTTTGGTTTCTTGAGACAGGATTTCACTATGCAGTTTAGACTAAGCTTGAACTCACTCTATAAGTCAGGCTGGCCTCGAACTCACAGTGATCCTTCTGCCTCAGCCTCCTGAGTGCTGGGACAATAGGTGTGCGCCACTATGGCCCGGCTCGTGCTTGTTTAATTCATAGTGCAGCTGAGAAAAATGTAAGCTTGCGTTTATTCTGGCTCCCAAAGCTAACTTTGGGACTTTCATTACTTAATTTGTTAAACATAATGGCTATTCCTTGGTATTCTCTAGGGAATTGTTTCCAAGACCTTTCATGGACACCAAAATTTAAGGAGGCTCAGTTCCTTACATAAATGTAGTTTGCATATATCCCTTGTACATCTTCCTGTAATCCTCCTTAAATCCTCGCTAGATTACTCCTAATCCACAACACCATATAAATGTTACATAAGTAGTTGTTATACAGTACTGTTTAGGGAATCACAAAAACCTCTTTGTACACGCTTAGGGCATTTTTGTCTTGAGTGTTTTCTACCTACAGTTCACATGATGAAATCCCCTAATGGCATGTTTCGAGCTCAGAATGTGTACCTGTTGCTGGGCAATGCGTGACCTGTCCGTGGAGCGGTTTGGAGCTCCATAACACTACAGAATTGTAGCCCTATGGGAGCTTTCGTTAAAAGCTAGCTTGTTTTTCATGTTCAGACGATGGGAAACTAACAGTTTCAACATGTTGCTGGCGGGGAGTGCAGGTTATCTGACATCGGGTAGAATGAGGTCCCCTGTCCCTGCCTCCCTTTCCAAATGTCAGCCAGAGAGCAGCGCTGGAACAGGCTGTCCACAGACTCCGTGCCCCTTTGCTAAGTGGCCCCACATGACACTGCTTTTGCTTTCCCCCTGCATTGCCAGAATAACATTTTTTAGTGTTTTCAGTGCCTTAGGCTGTAAACTTGCAACCCTTTTCTCAGCTGCTGCTTCTCATCCTCTGTCCAGGAGAACAGTGACCAAGCTTGTAAATGCACAGCGCTAAGCCGTGAGGCCTCTAGTGGCCTGTTGCCCCAGATAGCGCGGTCCAAAGGCACTTTGGCGGGCACCACAGAGAGCTGCTAAATTAGGCTTAGAACCGAGGCAGCCCTTTGATGTGGAAGCAGCGGTTGCACAAATAAGAGTTTTGAGATATTTTATTAGGACTTTTATCTAAGACATTGATTCTCAGCCAGGGACTAACTTGTTCCACCCCTCACCCTGGAGACATATGGCAAC